GCATATAAGGGGCAGGGACTGTCCCTTATTATATGCATGTTAGCAGCCCCTTTTTGCGAACAGGGGCTGCTAACAGGGAGTTTCGCAAGGGAGTTCTCCAGGTGAAGGAGGAGCAATACAGCACCCTTTTGGGGTAAGTGACTGTCTGCAGTGTGTGTTTGTTTGTGTTTGGGGGTTACTTGCTGTGTGCTGAGCTTGTGTTTGGCAGTCTGTCTGTTTGTTTGTTTGGTTGTTTGAAGGACCGTGTGCTGTGGCTGACAGTTGGAAGCTGTGAGCTTCAAAGGAAGGTTTGAAACCAGGAAGCCTCTGCGGACAGGGGGCTGCAGACGGGAGTTTGACAGAGGGAGGCTTACGATGGTTAGGAAGACCCGCAACACCTGTGCCAGCACTGCTTCTGTCTCCTCCACCTGCGCCTGTAGCCAGACAGAGCGCCTGAGCATGGATGCTTCTACCCAGATCCTGGTGTGGTTTTGCAGAGACTGTAACTTGCAATTTCCAGTTACTGATATCCAGGCTGAGGGGACCATCCAATGTGAAAGGTGCCTGCTGGTGGAATCTCTCAGGCAGCAGGTGGGAGAGCTACAGGAGGAGGTGGCTAGGTTGAGAAGCATCCGAATCCACGAGCAATTCCTGGACAGTGTCCATGTGGAGACAGCTGAGGTAGCTGTCCCAGGACACAGGACTGCTGATACACCACTGGTGGAGGAGGAGATGGCTCAGGGTGGACACTGGCAGCTGGTTACTTCTGGCAGCAGGCAGTGCTCCACCCCTGCTCCGAACCCTCCCGCTGTGGTAATAGGTAACCGTTATGCTCTTCTTGATACAGGAAAGAAGGCATCACCCCCTACAGTAAAGGAGGAGAAGCCTCGTACCCCTAAGGCTGGGAGGTCTGCTGCCACCACTGCGAATAGGAAACGTAGGGTAGTGGTGGTCGGAGACTCTCTGCTGAGGGGGACGGAGGCGCCCATCTGTCGCCCTGACATTTCATCTCGGGAGGTATGCTGCCTGCCGGGAGCCCGTATCCGAGACGTTACGGAGGCATTGTCGAGGATTATCCAGCCCTCTGACTACTACCCCATGCTACTCATCCATGTGGGCACAAATGATACTGCGCGGTGTGACACTGAGCGGATCAAGAGTGACTACAGGGCTCTGGGAGTACGGGTGAAGGAGTTTGGAGCGCAGGTGGTATTCTCTTCGATTCTTCCTGTCAAAGGTAGGGGCCCGGGCAGAGACAGATGCATCATGGAGGTGAATGCCTGGCTGCGAAGATGGTGTCGCCAGGAGGGCTTTGGCTTCCTAGACCACGGGATGCTATTTGAGGAAGGACTGCTAGGCAGAGATGGTGTTCACCTTTCGAGGAGGGGAAAGACCCTATTTGGACACAGACTGGCTAACCTAGTGAGAAGGGCTTTAAACTAGGTTCGACGGGGACAGGTGAGCAAAGCCCGCAGGTAAGTGGGGAACATGGAGACCTGGGAGATGGGTCGGAGACGAGAGGGAGTGTGGGCTATATTGGCAGAGAGAAAGGAGGGTAAGGACAAAACCGGGAGGAAAGATCAAACCAGTATCTTAGATGCCTATATACAAATGCGAGAAGTATGGGTAATAAGCAGGAAGAACTGGAAGTGCTAATAAATAAATACAACTATGACATTGTTGGCATCACTGAAACTTGGTGGGATAATACACATGATTGGAATGTTGGTGTGGATGGATACAGCTTGCTCAGGAAGGATAGACAGGGGAAAAAGGGAGGAGGTGTTGCCTTATATATTAAAAATGTACACACTTGGACTGAGGTAGAGATGGACATAGGAGACGGAAGTGTTGAGAGTCTCTGGGTTAGGCTAAAAGGGGTAAAAAACAAGGGTGATGTCATGCTAGGAGTCTACTACAGGCCACCTAACCAGGTGGAAGAGGTGGATGAGGCTTTTTTTAAACAACTAACAAAATCATCCAAAGCCCAAGATTTGGTGGTGATGGGGGACTTCAACTATCCGGATATATGTTGGGAAAATAACACAGCGGGGCACAGACTAGCCAACAAATTCTTGGACTGCATTGCAGACAACTTTTTATTTCAGAAGGTTGAAAAAGCTACTAGGGGTGAAGCTGTTCTAGACTTGATTTTAACAAATAGGGAGGAACTCGTTGAGAATTTGAAAGTAGAAGGCAGCTTGGGTGAAAGTGATCATGAAATCATAGAGTTTGCAATTCTAAGGAAGGGTAGAAGGGAGAACAGCAAAATAGAGACAATGGATTTCAGGAAAGCGGATTTTGGTAAGCTCAGAGAGCTGATAGGTAAGGTCCCATGGGAATCAAGACTGAGGGGAAAAACAACTGAGGAGAGCTGGCAGTTTTTCAAAGGGACACTATTAAGGGCCCAAAAGCAAGCTATTCCGCTGGTTAGGAAAGATAGAAAATGTGGCAAAAGACCACCTTGGCTTAACCACGAGATCTTGCATGATCTAAAAAATAAAAAGGAGTCATATAAAAAATGGAAACTAGGACAGATTACAAAGGATGAATATAGGCAAACAACACAGGAATGCAGGGGCAAGATTAGAAAGGCAAAGGCACAAAATGAGCTCAAACTAGCTAAGGGAATAAAGGGGAACAAGAAGACTTTTTATCAATACATTAGAAGCAAGAGGAAGACCAAAGACAGGGTAGGCCCACTGCTTAGTGAAGAGGGAGAAACAGTAACAGGAAACTTGGAAATGGCAGAGATGCTTAATGACTTCTTTGTTTCGGTCTTCACCGAGAAGTCTGAAGGAATGCCTATCCTAGTGAATGCTAATGGGAAGGGGGTAGGTTTAGCAGATAAAATAAAAAAAGAACAAGTTAAAAATCACTTAGAAAAGTTAGATGCCTGCAAGTCACCAGGGCCTGATGAAATGCATCCTAGAATACTCAAGGAGCTAATAGAGGAGGTATCTGAGCCTCTAGCTATTATCTTTGGAAAATCATGGGAGACGGGAGAGATTCCAGAAGACTGGAAAAGGGCAAATATAGTGCCCATCTATAAAAAGGGAAATAAAAACAACCCAGGAAACTACAGACCAGTTAGTTTAACTTCTGTGCCAGGGAAGATAATGGAGCAAGTAATTAAGGAAATCATCTGCAAACACTTGGAAGGTGGTAAGGTGATAGGGAACAGCCAGCATGGATTTGTAAAGAACAAATCATGTCAAACCAATCTGATAGCTTTCTTCGATAGGATAACGAGTCTTGTGGATAAGGGAGAAGCTGTGGATGTGGTATACCTAGACTTTAGTAAGGCATTTGATACGGTCTCGCATGATATTCTTATCGACAAACTAGGCAAATACAATTTAGATGGGGCTACTATAAGGTGGGTGCATAACTGGCTGGATAACCGAACTCAGAGAGTTGTTATTAATGGTTCCCAATCCTGCTGGAAAGGCATAACGAGTGGGGTTCCGCAGGGGTCTGTTTTGGGACCGGCTCTGTTCAATATCTTCATTAACGACTTAGATATTGGTATAGAAAGTACGATTATTAAGTTTGCGGATGATACCAAACTGGGAGGGATTGCAACTGCTTTGGAGGACAGGGTCATAATTCAAAATGATCTGGACAAATTGGAGAAATGGTCTGAGTTAAACAGGATGAAGTTTAACAAAGACAAATGCAAAGTGCTCCACTTAGGAAGAAAAAATCAGCTTCACACATACAGAATGGGAAGAGACTGTCTAGGAAGGAGTACGGCAGAAAGGGATCTAGGGGTTATAGTGGACCACAAGCTAAATATGAGTCAACAGTGTGATGCTGTTGCAAAAAAAGCAAATGTGATTCTGGGATGTATTAACAGGTGTGTTGTGAGCAAGACACGAGAAGTCATTCTTCCGCTCTACTCTGCTCTGGTTAGGCCTCAGCTGGAGTATTGTGTCCAGTTCTGGGCACCGCATTTCAAGAAAGATGTGGAGAAATTGGAAAGGGTCCAGAGAAGAGCAACAAGAATGATTAAAGGTCTTGAGAACATGACCTATGAAGCAAGGCTGAAAGAATTGGGTTTGTTTAGTTTGGAAAAGAGAAGACTGAGAGGGGACATGATAGCAGTTTTCAGGTATCTAAAAGGGTGTCATAAGGAGGAGGGAGAAAACTTGTTCACCTTAGCCTCTGAGGATAGAACAAGAAGCAATGGGCTTAAACTGCAGCAAGGGAGGTCTAGGTTGGACATTAGGAAAAAGTTCCTAACTGTCAGGGTGGTTAAACACTGGAATAAATTGCCTAGGGAGGTTGTGGAATCTCCATCTCTGGAGATATTTAAGAGTAGGTTAGATAAATGTCTATCAGGGATGGTCTAGACAGTATTTGGTCCTGCCATGCGGGCAGGGGACTGGACTCGATGACCTCTCGAGGTCCCTTCCAGTCCCAGAATCTATGAATCTATGAATCTATGTAGATCGCCTAGCACCACAGAGCCCCGACAATTACACCTGTAATACAATTGTAATACAGGTGTAATGGTAATACAAATAATAACAATAAATATAATCCCCACAGTTTGGGGGAATGCGTCTGCACATTTAGATGCTGCTTTGAACCAAATTCCTGCATCAGTGGCGTGTGCCCATCACCAGTAAGAGATGCAGAGTCAGCACTCTGAGCAATGAAGCATTAGCAATTCATGTTGAAAGAACAATTGCATGTTACCTGTCTCTTCCTTATTCATACATGTCTCCTGCCAGTATTCTGTAGCACTGACCGTGTAAACGAGATCAGCCTTGTCCAGAATTTCTGAGTCACTCGGCAGTATTCTCTAAAAAAACAAAAACAAAAAACCCCCCCCCACACACACAGATTATGTAAAAAGTGGGGTTATTGAAGCAGCTTCAGAAAATTCATAAGAACATAAGAGCGTCCAGACTGGGTGAGAACAAAGGTCCATCTAGCCCAGGACCTTGTCTTCCAACAGCGGCCAATGCCAGGTGCCCCAGAGGGAATGAACAGAACAGGCAATCATGAAGTGATCCATCCCCTGTTGCCCATTCCCAGCTTCTGGCAAGTTCTATTGTCACTGCAGAATTCCGCCAGTTAGCACAATAAGTGGTGCAGTGAGTGTGAATTTAATCAGTTGCGTAGCCTCAACTACCCCATTCATATCAGGATCCAGTTCAAAACTGCGCTCCCTCCCTCCCTTTAGCAGCAAACTCCTCTGTCTGGTCACACAATCTCACCATTGTTGGGGCGAGAGCCTCTTCCTCTGCAGCTTTTTCCACCAAGAACAGCCTTGTGAAATCTCTGCCTCATCAATGTCCCAGCTCATCTCTCTCCCTTTCTGAGGCCTCCTTTCCTCTCTCCCTATGTTACCAACTTTGTTTAAGGAATGCTTTGTGCTGCAGACAAACAGTGCATCTTAAATTCCTAATTCTGTATTACTGTGAAGCGATTGGATTTGGGATGTCAATTTTTCATTGAGCAAACACCAAATCAAGGATCAGCTTTGTCTGCACACTGACTTTAATGCCTGGATCCCTTATTTATGACTCAGAATCAAACCACAGAGGATGGTCAGCTCCAAACACACAAGTTTTTATCACTGGAGGTAAAGGAGATTTCCCTAATGGGATTTTCAGAAGTGCCTAACAAGGTTAGGCAACTAACTCCCATTGGAAGTTTACTGTAATTAGGCTCCTGAAGGCCAAGATAGATCTGGCCCCAGAATTCAATAAGGCTTAGAACTTTGTTTGTTGACATCAAGGTTTTTATAGTATAGTTGAGACCACCTAGAAATCATCACATCTCATGGAAAAATACTTACTTATAAATGTTAGTCCAAGGACCATCACATTTACTATTGAAATATAATAGGAATAGGTTTCCAACAACTAGAAAACCCAGTGTTATACTTTACCCCAAGCTTTGTCTTCAGTCCTTTGATTTTCTTCCCTTTCACGAATGCGTTCCTCTCTAAAATGGCATCGTGTCTGGTTTCTATAGGTTTCTACATTTGGAAAGACAATGAAAGTTACTATAGGTAGTTCCCAAAATGCTTTAATGGATTTTAAAGCCAGCAGACACCATCTAATCTGGTTTCCAACATAACACAGGGCAAACTTCACCCTGGAATTTCTGCATCAAGCCCAGAACTTCTGTTTGAGCTACAGCAGATCTTTTAGGGCTTGTCTACATGAACCAGTAATGCCAACTACAGGGATGTGATTTCTAGAGCCCACTAATATGTTGCACATTAACTGGCACATGTGGACCCTGCCAGCATGGACTAGAAGTTCCCTAGTGTGCTTTTAACATACTGCTGTTAACCTGGATTAACAGTCAACATGGATTTGTTAAGAACAAATCATGTAAACCGAATCTAATAGCTTTCCTTGATAGGGTAACAAGCCTTGTGGATGGGGGAAGCGGTAGATGTGGTATATCTTGACTTTAGTAAGGCTTTTGATACTGTCTCGCATGACCTTCTCATAAACAAACTAGGGAAATACAGCCTAAATGGAGCTACAATAAGGTGGGTGCCTAACTGGTTGGAACACCGTTCCCAGAGAGTAGTTATCAGTGGTTCACAGTCAAGCTGGAAGGGTATAACGAGTGGGGTCCCACAGGAATCGGTCCTTGGTCTGGTTCTGTTCAATATCTTCATCAGTGATTTAGATAATGGCATAGAGACTACACTTAAAGTCGGCGGACAGTGCCAAGCTAGGAGGGTTTGCAGGTGCTTTGGAGGATAGGATTAAAATTCAAAATGATCTGGACAAACTGGATGTAAGGGGGCTGCTGGCCCCCCACTGACACTTAGTGGGGTTTTTGGCTGGCCTCTCCCAGTACCAAAGGAAAGGGGAAGGGCTGAAGAGAAATCAGGATCCTGAGACTGACGGTCCCCAGGGCCAATGCGGAGAGGCCAATGTTCCATGTCAGCCTGATTGACAGGGCAGGCTGGCCAATGAGGGAGCCAGGAGGTCGGGGTCCCGTCCTCCGTGTGAGGGGAGCTGCCTGAGGCAGAGTGGGGCTGAGCTAAGGGGAGAGCAGCAGCCAGAGCTGGGCTGGGAAGCTGGGCCGCGCCGGCTAGAGCCAGAGGGGCAGAGGAGCAGCTCAGAGAGCTGAGCTGGAGGCGGGCTGGGGCTGGGGCTGGGGCTGGGGCTGGGGCTGGGGCTGGGGCTGGGGCAGGCCGGAGCCGGGTGCAGTGAGCGGCTGGGGAGAGCGAGGGGGGCCCTGGGCAATGGGCCCAGCACAGGGAGACGCCCCCAGTGAAGAGGCCGGACTGGCCAGACTTGGGGGGATCGTAACCCCGACAGGGCGGGGGCGACACTGGGAAGCAGGGCCCTGCCACCTAGAGCCTGAGGGCGTGTGGCCACCACCAGAGCAAGTGTCCGACCCGCAGCGTCTCTGCAGCACAGCCAGGGCCTGGGCAGGGCCTGGGACGGGTGAGGAACAGACTGAGCTGCCCTGACGTTCCAGCGACGCTGGTTGTGGTGCCCCTGTGACCACAGAGCCGGGTGTCGTGTTTTCCTTTAACGTTTCCCAGTTTTTCCTCATTGTTTTAATTGGGTGCTGTTTAATAAATTGTATTTGCTTTGAGCTCTATGCAGTGATCAGTGGGTCAGGGAAGCATCCAGAGAGGAGAGAGCGTCCCGGAGTGGGGACACCCTAGCCCCTGGCCTAAGTGACCAGGACAAGTTTGACCAGGCCCAGCCTTGTCGGGGTTACGAGGACTCTGCCACCCAAGAGAAGGAAGGGGAGTCCCCCAGGTCAGGCAGGCCTGCGGGTAAAGGGAGCTGGAGCAAGACTCAGATCCTTTGGGTAGTGGATTCCACTGGGGTAGTGTAAAAGCCAGGAAAGTTTCCCACAATGGTGGGACCGTTCACCTGCTTACATGGAGAAATGGTCTGAAGTGAATAGGATGAAATTCAATAAGGACAAATGCAAAATATCCCACTTAGGAAGGAACAATCAGTTGCACACATACAAAATGGGAAATGACTGCCTAGGAAGGAGTACTGCAGAAAGGGATCTGGGGATCATAGTGGATCACAAGCTAAATATGAGTCAACAGTGTAACACCGCTGCAAAAAAAGTGATAATTCTGGGATGTAATGGCAGGGGTGTTGTAAGAAAGACACGAGAAATAATTCTTCTGCTCTACTCAGCACTTATAAGGCTTCAGCTGAAGTATTGTGTCCAGTTCTGGGCACCACGTTTCAGGAAAGATGTGGAGACACTGGAGAAAGTCAAGAGGAGAGCAACAAAAATGATTAAAGGTCTAGAAAACATGACCTATAAAGAAAGATTGAAAAAAATGGGTTTGTTTAGTCTGGAGAAGAGAAGACCGAAGGGAGACATGATAACAGTTTTCAAGTACATAAAAGGTTGTTACAAAGAGGGGGGTGGAAAATTGTTCTCCTTAACCTCTGAGGACAGGAAAAGAAGCAATGGGCTTAAATTGCAGCAAGGGAGATTTAGGATGAACATTTAGGCCTGGTCTACACTACGACTTTAATTCGGATTTAGCTGCGTTAATCCGAATTAACCCTTCACCCGTCCACACTACAGAGCCAGTTAATTCGAATTAAAGGGCACTTAAAATCGATTTCTGTACTCCACCTCGACGAGCGGAGTAGCGCCTAAATCGATTTTGTTAATTCGAATTAGGGTTAGTGTGGCCGCACACCACCGAATTACTGTGTTTAAATTAATGGGGTAGTGTGGCCGCACACCACCGAATTAATGTGGTTAAAAACCGAATTAATGTGCTTAGTGTGGCCGCGCACAATCGAATTTATACAACCTGTTTCCCAAATTCGAATTATCTAAATTCGGATTAATCCCGTAGTGTAGACATACCCTAAGAAAAACTTCCTGTCAGGGTAGCTAAATACTGGAATAAATTGCCTAGGGAGGTTGTGGAGTCTCCATCATTGGAAGTTTTTAAGAACAGGTTGGACAAACACCTGTCGGGAATGGTCTAGTTATTACTTAGTCCTGCTTTGAGTGCAGAGGACTGGACTAGATGACCTCTCAAGGTCCCTTCCAGTCTTATCCTTCTATGATTCTATGTTAAAGCCCAAAGGGAACTTCTGGTGCATGCTGGCCAGCTCCACATGGACCAGTTAATGACTAATATGTCAGTGCTCTTTACAACTCACCCCCACCACCCATAGTCCACCTTACTGCTCTGTGTAGACAAGCCCCTGGAAAGAGTCAGTCTTGATGTAAAGACTCCAAGTAATGGCCCCATCCTAGGTAAGTTGGTTCAATGATTAATTACCTGCACTGTTAAAAAATTGTGCCTTATTTCTAGTCTGAATTTGTCTAGTTTCAGATTCCAGGCACTGGATCTTATCAGGTCTTTTTTGCTAGATTTAAGAGTCATCTGCTCTCAGAAATCTCTCTCCCATGTAGGTCTTTGTAGCTTGTGATCCAGTCACCTTTTAACCTTCTCTTGGCTAAATTAAATCCATTGCGCTAACTGCTCATTATAAAAAGAGTTAACCAGGATTATTGCTTTCAATAACATTCATTTTCTTTTTGGATCATGTAATTTAAAAGTATCCTTTATTAAGGTTATTATCCCAGGTTAGTTAGTGAGGCAGACATTGCTACATGAAACATAAAAACCAGCTCCAGGGGAGTTCATTAGTACTGTAACCTGCAGCACATCCTCAGTTCCTAATTTGGTATTGTTCTGGAGGTATTTTATATTGGGAAGCATTCAATCACGGCTTGTTTTATCTGTGAACTGAATTTAGTTCTTTGAACCCTTGTTTATGACTCAGAAATAGACCATTTGTTCAGTATTATACGGCTTAACGGTTAAGACGCTGGACTGAGAGTCGAGATCCAGACTGGATTCCCAGCTCTGCCACTGGCTCCCTGTGTGCCCTTGGACAAGTCACTTAGTCTCGCTGTGCCTCAGGGATAACAACCCTGCCCTGCCTCGCAGGGGTGAGGATATAAATTCAATAATGTTTGTGAGGCACTCAGATACTACTGGGATTATGGCCATAAATAAATAAACCCATATGGCTAAGTCCACGCAACTTTGTTATTAAGAATGCTCAGCTGCTTAAATTCTAACGTCTTGCATTCCTCCGGGCTCCCATGTATAGGGACTGCCTTATTGCCCCAGTTTTACAGCTGGAGAAGCTAAGGGGCACAGAGGTTAAATGACTAGCCCAAGGACACACAACGAGTCTGTTACAGAGATGGGATGAGAACAAGGGACTTCATGGCTCTCATGCCACTGCACCAGGCCTCTCTTAGGATATTTACCCCATTCCAGCTGATGATCAAGCTCCTTCCTCAACTACAAATGCTGATAGCTTTTGTAATTTTATCCTGATTGTGGGCTAAACTGTCTTTTTCTTACCCACCCAAAGTGAATGGGGGCCTCACATGTGTAGGGTGAGCAGGTGATACCTAGACTGGGTCCATGGACGCTATAAATGCCTTCTTTTTAAAAATGTAACCCTGCAGCTCCTCTTACAGTAATCAGGACTCTTGCTGGAACACCACATTGTATTTAGCAGCCCTAGTGGATGACATCCATCTTCAGGAGACAAATCAGTGACCTCTCATTTTTGTTCACGGAGAGTTCATTCTTAAGACTACAACTTATTTTTTAAAAAAGTCTGCAAATACTCACATGTTTCTCTTGTCTTTCCCTGGAAAAAATTAAAATGACACATTTAATCAGGTATGGCAAACATCAAAAATCCTATCATGCCCCTTGCACATAACTATGTGCAGGGGGTTATGGGAAGGTGACAATACACAATATGGAAAGTAGGAAATGGGCTTTCGCATGTTCATAAGCATTGTCAGACTGGATCAGACCCAAGGTCCATCTAGCTCAACATCCTGTCTCCGGCAGTGGCCAGCACCAGCTGTTTCAATGGAAGGTGCAAGAATCACTGTAGAGAGTAACTATAGCAGTAGTTCTCAAACGTTTGTACTGGTGACCCCTTTCACAGCAAGCTTCTGAGTGCGACCCCCCCTTATAAATTAAAAACACTTTTTTATATATTTAACACCATTATAAATGCTGGATGAAAAGCGGGGTTTGGGGTGGAGGCTGACAGCTCGCGACCCCCCATGTAATAACCTCGTGACCCCGAGGGGTCCTGACCCCCCAGTTTGAGAACCCCTGAACTATAGAATGACCTGTTTCTTCCTAACCCTCTGTGACACAGAAGTGAATTGGTGGTTCACAACTCTTGTCAGGTCTGACATACTCGCTACACCTCACACACTGTTGTCATGATATATATCCAAAAAGTGACATGTAATATATCATTAATAGGTGTGCCCAATTCAATGGGCTATTCATTTGTATCTGAGGTTGCAGGAAAAGATCATTCGCATTGTAAAAATCACTAATGGGGGAGAAGACACCGTGGAATCTACACCAGAGAACCTGACATCCACACGCAGCAGGGGAAAGGATCTTTATCCGTGAATACATTACATAAGAATACATTTCAAAGGTTTACTGTTCTATAAAGAGAGGGGGAGCAAATCCCTAAATGATAGATCACTTAGGGGATTCAAGAGGCCAGAGCTCTTGAAATAAGAGGTTACTTACTGTACTGGAGGTTCATCAAGATGTGTGTCCCTATCTGTATTCCACACATAGGTGTACATCCGCGCCGTGCACTTGAGTCCTGAATTTCTTTCCAAGCAGTGTCTATTGACCTGCATGTGCGGTATGTCCTTTTGTGCTCCCAACTGAGAGTGTAAGGGGCAGTGCAGGTCAACACCACTACAATTCCTCCTCTTACTGCACTATGGTGAAGTCCGAAGCAGAGGGACAGGAGGGCAGGTAGTGGAACACAGCTAGGGACCACACATCTCAGAGAACCTCCAGGTACAGTAAGTAACGTCCTCTTCTTCGAGTGATGGGCCCTTTGTGTATTGCACACGTGGGGGACTTGTGAGCACTGATCAGTGTGGCGCTGGGTGCAAGGAGGCTTATTGTAGAGTCATTTGCAATACAGCTCATCCCATGGCCTGTTTCTTCCTAAATCCCCTGTGACACACACACCCGTTGGTGGTTCAGCACTCTGTGTTAGTAACTCTTGTCAGGCCTGGCATACTCGCTACACCTAACATACTGTCGTCATGATATATATCAGAAAGGTGACATGGAAAATATCACTGGAAAACTAACAGCTCACTGACCATTAACGTTCTTGAGTCATGTATGTACCACAAAGAACTTTAAAGGTGGGCTGGAAATATGTGACTAAAATGTGTTTAAACCAGGTGAGTTAGGGGGACTTGATAAACAATTTTTCTCCAGACAAAGGAAAGAGGCCAACACCTCAAACCATCTGTGGCCAAATTCAATGGGCTATTCATTTGTATCTGCGGTTGTAGAAAGAGATCATTTGCATTGTAAAAATCACCAGCAAGAGAGAAGACAGCCTGGAATCGACACCAGACAGACTGGCAGCCACACCCAGCAGGAGAAAGGAACTTTTTTTGGGAATACATTTCAAAGGCTTACTGGACTATAAAGAGAGGGGGAGTGAACTATTACTTGGGGGATTCAAGGGATCAGAGCTCTTGAAATCACAGGGGGTTGAAGTCTCTGGGAACCGAGGGTAGCTGAGAAAGATCGTATTCTGGGGTGGTGCAAGATGCTTTTGGAAAAAAAACCTTACTGCACACAGGGGCAGCAGGTTTGTAGAAATTTTGGTGGTGCCCAGAACGCCCAGAGCCCGCCCCCCCAAACTCTGCCCCCCACCTGCCTAAGGCTCTGGGAGGGAGTTTGGGTTGGGGAGGGGATCTGGGGTGCAGGCTCTGGGATGGAGTTTGGGTGCTGGGTGCAGGCTCCGGGCTGGAGCAGGGGGTGGGGGTGAAGGAGGGGGTGAGGGGTGCAGGCTCTGGAAGGGAGTTTGGGGATGGGAGGGGGTGCGGTGGGAGGGGGTGCAGGCTCTGGGAGGGGACAGAGAGTTCGGCGCTTACCTGAGTCTCCTAAGCAGGGCGGGCCAGGGTTCTCCGCGTGCTGCTACCCTCAGGCACTACCCCCACAGCTTCCTATTGGCTGCAGGGGCGCTTGGGGTGGGACATGGACCCACAGCACCCAGGGGTCGCAGGGAGGGGCTGGCAGCCACATGGAGCGAGCAGGCAGGAAGCCGCTCAGCTCTGCTGCGTTACTGGTGATGAGTGGGGGCCCCAGGCTGTTTTAAAGGACCCAGGGGACACAGAGGCGGGAGGGGGCGCCCGGGGGGTGGAAGGCAGGGCCAAAGGAGAGACCAGTGCTGGAACCGGGCTCGTGGTGTCTGGGAACCAAAAATATTCCTGGTGCCCAGGAACCATGGGCCCATAGAACTCGCCGCCCATGACTGCGCCAGCAATGAATAACTAGCAAAGCTGATTCCTCCAGACGTATCAGGCCCTCAGATGGTGCTGTGCGTTTGACTCTAGATGGCACTGTGCCTTTTGGCGGATTTCTGTTCAGCTTGCCTAGCATTCGACAAAGTCGTTGCCATCTGTACGTTAATCCATTTGCTACAACACAGTGTGCACATTAATTGTAAGTGTCACCACAGTTTTGCTTTTGTTCTTATTACAAGGGATCGTTGGGTTTGTCTGAATCAATGCCTCACTGTTTTTAATACTTAGTGACTTGCAGGCTGGTTTATTTTTTATCTCTATATGTACTTGTGTGGCGGAAGGGGGGGCGTAAATTACTACTAGACACAAAGAAGGGGGGCACAATCAAATACGTTTGAGAACCACTGGTACTGTTGTTAGACACTGCAATCAGAAAACACCAGCCAGAACAAATGGCAGATGCTTCAGAAGCCGATGGCTGAACATGGACTATCTGGTAGCTAGAAGGAGGGGTTGCAGGAGGAAGACAGGCAGACACACTCTAAATCTCTAAAGGAAGGACTCCCACAGTCCCTGAAGCCCGGGGATAGTCTATTCCACTACCTCAGGTATTCCTCCAGCTGCAGCTTATCAGACTTGGTGACCACCAGAGCGATGTCACTGCACATCCCGCCTTGGTAAGCTTTGATGCTCTCTTTCAGCAGCACTTCATGGACTTTGTCCCCCAGAACTCGTTCGATGTCGCTGATAACCCAGATGACTGAACATTTATTGATGCTCTTAAGGAGAAAGAGGGAGAGAGAGAGAGAGAGGATTATATCTGGAAGCATAGGCGCCAACTCCGTGGGTGCTCTGGGGCTGGAGGACCCACAGGAAAAAATTAGTGGGTAAGTTCCCCTCCTCTCCCCGCCCACCCTACCTCCTCCTCCCCCCCAAGCGACCCGCATCCCTGCTCCTCCGCCCCCCTCTCAGCGCTTCCTGCCTGGCCGCCACCAAACAGCTGTTCGGCCGCTTGGGGGGGGGGAGGAGTAGGAACGTGGTGCGCTCAGGGGAGGAGGCGGGAAAGAGGCGGGGCCGGGGTGGGGATTTGGGGAAGGAGTTGGAATAGGAGCAGGGAGGGGGCGGAGTTGGGGCGGGGACTTTGGAGAAGGGGTTGGAATGAGGGTAGGGCAGGGGCGGAGCCTCATGGAAGAGGTGGAGTTGGGGCAGGGCCGGAGGCAGGGTCGAGCGAGCACCCATCAGTGGGAGCAGAAGTTGGTGCCTATGTCTGGAAGCAACGAGGCAGCCAGGCTCCATCCTGAGACAGGCCGAGTGCCCTGGATTCCCCACTGACTGCAATGGCAGTGCAGAGTGCTCAGTCTCTGCAGGATTGTGCCAGCAATTTGCAGACTTGAGCCCCTAGCTCAAGCCCCTCAGCTGTGTGACACTCAGGACTGTGCTAGCTGGAGGTTCTGAGCTGACCTCTAGGGGTATTTCTACACAGCAACTACTGTAAACACCTGTGGCTGGCCTGGGTCTGCTGACTTGGGCTATGGGTCTGTAAAATTGCTGTATAGACATTTGGGCTTGGGCTGGAGCCAGAGCTCTGAGACCCCGTGGGGGAGGGAGGGTCCCAGAGCCCAGGCTCCAGCCCAAGCCCAAACATCAACACAGCAATTTTACAGCCCCAGAGCCCGAGCCTGAGTCAGCTGACATGGGCCAGCTGCGGGTGTTTAATTGCTGCGTAGACATTCGGTGGGATAGCCCTAGTGCAGAGAAGAGAACGGTGCATGTGATCATTGCACAGTCTGCACTTCTGAGGAAAAACCTCAGTCTCCTAGTGAAGAGCGGATGGAGAAAGGTGCTATGGGGCTTTGATGCTACAGGAATCCAGGAGCAGCAATGGATCCAAGTTGGAAAGCACCGTTAGCTAATATCAGGATTGCCCCCTCACTATACGGGTGGACGCTGCTTCTGTTCATTCCACTAAAGCCTTCCCCAGGCCACAGAGCACACGGCCCACTCTAGAGCTTTCCTTCCTTCATTACACTGGAATGGTAACATTAGAACCAATGGTTAAATGCTTTCCAGCCAAATAACACATCAGCATTTTCTCCCACACATCACAGAGCTGGTAAGTCACCTCTTTCCACATTTCGTCCCTTTTGCTGTTGTAATCTCCTGTCCCGGGAATATCCATAAACACGACACCTTCCGGAATCATGTTGGACTTCGGAATTGTCACTTCCACGTATTTGATTAGCGGCCAGAGTCGCATCTTGGCTTTCTCTTCATCCAGTGCTGGCTCCTCCTCATCCTTGTTACTCTGACTCCGGATATAGGGGTCCAGTTTGTCAGAGAGTTCTTTTGCCTGGAACACAATAAATAAATCAAATTCTGCCCCTCTTGAAGTCATCTGTGAACAGTAATTAATTGAACAACCTTCCACGGGGGGTGGGGGGGAAACGGGGGCGTTGTGAGACTATGTTTCATTCCCTACCGTTTTACAGATGGGGAAACTGAGGGGCTGGAGCACTCAGTGAGTCATTGTCTGAGCTGGGAATAGAGCCCAGGAAGTCTAGCCTCCTTCCAATTCTGATGGAGTTTTCACAAGAGCTAAACAGCATGGGGGAAGCACAGCATCTCCCTCTCTGGTACTGCAGAGGACACGTGACAGAGTCACTGTAGCCCAAGGCCTGATTAACTTTCTCCAGCAGGTCCCTGGGAGTGGCTATGGCTAGGGAACGGGGCAATGAGGTGGGCTGCTGGGGGCAGAGAGTTACAGCTGCCTCTGCATGGCTGGCAGTAAAAAGCAGAAATGTTCCCAAATTTCAGGTGGGGATTTTCCTTGAGGAATTGACCACAGGGAAGAGAAAGGCAAGAAAACCCCTGAATATCCCAAAGCCAAGATAACATTTTTAAATCGAAACAAAGCAAAACAATTGTTTCAAAGTGATGATTCACCACAAATGATTGTTCGTTTGGTTTGATGTCCCTGATCGGAAAAAATCAGAATATCAGTTACAATTGACATTTTCCTGCCTAACGTTTAGACTTCAACTAACCCACATTTTCCAACTGGAAATTTTTTTGGTGAGGAAATGTTGCCGGGCTCTAGGTGGCAGCACTGGAGCTGCCTTCCTGCCAGGGGTGTGGAGGAGTGGGATGGGGCAGGCGGCACTCACTCCCTCAGTGGGACAGACTGGGGTCATCTCCATGGGGAATCCCACAATAGATTCATGCAGGAGGGGACAATTTTGCCCTGAGTTTGGCCTATTCCAAGTTCTCTGGAAAAACCCATCCACAGCCAGCAAAGCTCGTTTGGAGCTCAATGTAAAGCTGAAGGAGGCACCTACTGAATGTAAATGTTACCGCCTTTCCTTAAAGGGGTCTGTCTGCACTGCGAAGGGGGGCAGAGGGGTAGGATTGCAGCACATGGAGACATACCCGAGCTAGCTTTGATCTAGGTAGCAGTGAAGCTGCAGTAGCATGGATTTCTGTGCGGGGGAGCTGCCCGAGTAATTATCCAGGGTTCTGGGTGGGCCTGTACAGCTGCCACAGCTTTACTGCTATTGGTATATGAGCGAACTGGCTCAAAGCTACCTCGGGTGTGTCTATGAGACGTCTGACTGCAGTACTGCCAACTTTAAGAGATCAAAATCTTTTTGGTGATTTTAAAAACCACCAAATCCTGTTTTTTAGTTTGTCTTTTGACCTTTTAACTCCCCTTTACGCCTTAGTCATTGTGTGTATAATAATTTCAGGTTGAAAAAGTCAGACTTTAGTGTACACCTCTCCCTAGCCGCTCATCCTCTCCTCACCCCCAAGACAGGGAAATGCCTGGTCACCCATTTCCTGTCACTGTCTTGACTCTCTCCCCTCCTACTTTTGTTCCTCTGACAAAAGAACGACTGGCTGGTAAATAGTTTTGAGCATCACTGCCCTAATTAGTGCAGCAGGATTCACACTCCCACGCAGAACTTATATAATTGTTCAGGGTTGATGACTTACATACTAGAGAACTTTAAATTTATATCAGTCACTCATATAAGCGATGTCACAGGAAAAACTATGAGGCATTGGTTTAGCCAGTGGCAAGAAGCAACACTTCCCTGCTTCTCCTCCCCACCTCTCCCCCGCCTTCACTGTCTGAAACTGGGACTGAGCCCAGCTGCTCCAGACTCCCTCCACCGGCTCTAGCACCTCCCTCCCCATTCCCTCGCCTTCCCAGCCTCCTCCTGCTCTGGCCTCACCCTCCCCACCCATCTCCCTGACATAAGAACGGCCACACTGGGTCAGATCAATGGTCCATCTAGCCCACCACCCGGTCTTCGGACAGTGACCAATGCCAGATGCTTCACAAGGAGTAAACAGAACAAGGCTCTTTATCTAGTGATCCATCCCCTGTCGTTCACTCCCAGTTTCTGGCAGAGGTTTAGAGCATGGGGTTTGTCCCTGACCATCTTGGCTAAGAGCCATTGATTGACCTATCCTGCATGAACTTATCCAGTTCTTTTTTGAACCCACAACGGTCTTCTGGATTTGGAATTTATGATCACACACTCACTCACCTGCGCTCCCGTGAGGGGAATACAATTTGAGGAAGGGATATTTACTAGGGGCTTTGCCTTCAACAGGTATTCATAAGATCTGGTTACAGCATCTCTCCCATAAAGCGCTTGAAGCTTTTGGACAGCTTCACCTACATCACCTTCCTCCTCCTCTTCTTCCTCCTCCCCGGGTTTCCACACAAGCTCCACCAGATTCTTCAGTTCCTCGTTCCATTCCTGCCAGTACAGAGAAGGGCAAACAGGCCATTGTTATCTTGGGCATTTAGGGGGCCGGGGCGGGGGCCGGGCAAGGCTGCTACAGAATAATGCAGGAGTTGGGGCTGGATTTGACTTGGGTTGTCGAGGCAGTGGTAGTGGATTTCAGTAGCTATGGGGGTGCCTAGAGCTCAGGTTGGGTGGGATTGGTGTAACAGCATTCCAATCAAAGGGACTACAGAGCTATTTTAGTGCCGAGCAGAGGGCAGGGGATGGGAGCTGGGAACTGGCTCGGTGCTACAGGAGACGCTGTGGGAAGCTATAGTGCAGAAGCAGCACAAGTGGTTCCCTGGCTTCTGCAGCAGACGAACCAGCTGTGGTTCCAGCAGCAGGATTCCCCTCTGGACAACTACAAGCAAAGAAGGGAGGGAAGTGCTGTTGCTTCCACCTGTCGCCTCCTGATAGGGTGACCAGATGTCCCGATTTTATAGGGACAGTCCCGATTTTTGGGTCTTTTTCTTATATAGGCTCCTATAACCCCACACCCCCTGTCCAGATTTTTCACATTTGCTGTCTGGTTACCCTACCTCCTGACCTCCTAAGAGAACCAACCCTAACCGCATCCTTTACTTAGAGGACACACATTCCTTCCTGGAGCCCTTGGCAATCATCAGGCAGGGCTGAGGTTTAATACAAGAAGCAGCCAGCAGGGGCCTTCTGGGCCAGGGAGCCAGCTGCCCTCTCCATAAAACAGAGTTACTCTGTGGAGGGGCTGTGGCTACACACCCTGCAGCCAGGATACTGTCCTAAAGAACACATCCGTGCCCTGCGCCATGCTGAGGAATTAGACTTGCCTGTAGTGAGAGAAGGTGAATTTTTGCCTCATAGTTTTTGCTCCGGCTGCTGCTGACTTGCACAATGCACGAGGTGCAGGCTTGGCTCCCCGACACTGGCAGGAAGAACTGCTGCTCGATGATGGCATTGAACAGTGAGCTCTTCCCAGCCCCGGTGCTGCCAAAGAGCCCAATGTAAATCGGGTCCAGAGAAGACTTTTCTTTCAAGGTGAGGAGGCGGTTCCTGAGGAGGAGGAGAGAGGGAGGGAGAGTTAGACAGAGTCATGTATTTGGGAAGGGCCAGGCAGCTCCCTTCCTCACAAATACAGCCCCATTGGAGTCAATAGAAAGACTCCCCTTCTCCCCAACCCCCAAAATGATTTAGATGAACACTGGATCAGGCTCCGCTATCGTTAAGATTTGGCTGGATGGACAGACAAGTTTTCCCGCCATAAACCATGAACCAAGGCCTAGAGGAGCTACAGCTGGCGAGGGGCTAGGAACCCTGGAATATGCCCCTAGAAGCAGGTGGTCTGTGTCATGGGGTGTATGTACTCCATGCTTTCCCAGCAACCAAAGGGTTAATACAGGTACTGCCAGATAGTACCGGGTTTTCCAGTCAGAAGGGGCCCCAGCCAGCCCAATCCCCCGACCGGCTGAGCCGGCCAGGAAAGCTGCCCTTGCCCCTGCTCCGCCCCAGCCCCTCCCCCACTCCATCCCTTCCTCAAAGCCTCCGTCCCTGCCCCGCCTCTTCCCGCCCCTGCTCCGCCCCAACCCTGCCCCCATTCAACCCCTTCCCCTGAGGACTGCAGCAGGGGTTGGACGTGTCCTGCACTCACCGGGTGACGGTAAGTGGAGCGACCCGGCCCCCACCTGCTCCACTCTGCCAGCTCCCAGCCAGTTCCCCCCTGCCCCCCAAGATCCAAGGCTGGGATCCAGGGGAGCAGAGTGGTGTGGGCTGGGGCCAGGTCACTCCATTTCCCGCTGCCCCGTGAGTGCGGGATCGGGCCCACCCTGCAATTACCGGGCGGCAGGAAGTGGAGTGACCCGGCCCCAGCCCGCTCCGCTCCTCCGGCTTGTGCTGGGGGGCTGTTCCCCAAGCCTGGGGAGGAGAAGGAGTGGTGGGGAAAGTGCATGGGATGGAGAAGGGAAGGGGATGGGGGAAGCAGGGGCAGGGGGGAAGCTGGAGCCCAGCATGCGGCATCCCCTTGGCAGAACGGGTTACACTTGGATCGCACTTTCAGGCTTTTCTTCCCAACCGTATGGGTATAAACTTTTTTTTTTGTATTACAATCTGAATCACAAGAATGTAGGTGCTGGACTTTAAGAAAAACACTTAGTATTCAGTTCTGCAGGAAAGGACCTAGGGGTTACAGTGGACGAGAAGCTGGATATGAGTCAACAGTGTGCTCTTGTTGCCAAGAAAGCTAACGGCATTTTGGGCTGTATAAGTAGGAGCATTGCCAGCAGATCGAGGGACGTGATCATTCCCCTCTATTCGGCATTGGTGAGGCCTCAGCTGGAGTACTGTGTCCAGTTTTGGGCCCCAC